AGGCAAACTAAGGCCCGGGGGCCGGATCCAGCCCAATCGCCTTCTAAATCTGGCCCACGGACGGTCCGGGAAACAGTGTGTTTTTACATGAGTAGAATGAGTCCTTTTATTTAAAATGCATCTCTGGGTTATTTGTGCGGCATAGGAATTTGTTCTTTTTTTTTCCCTTCCAAAATATAGTCCGGCCCCCCAACAAGGTCTGAGGGACAGTGGATTGGCCCCTTGCTGAAAAAGTTTGCTGACCCCAGTCCTAGATGGGCTACCTTCCCAGGTGGACGAGCCCCATTTGCCCCTCACTTTCCTCTATAGCACCTGCAGAAACTGCCTTCCTGACCATTGGACCCATGCTTGGTCTTGTCCTCTCAATCCACAAGAGACTGTCTTCGCATGCAGGGAAAGCCCCTAACTCACCAAGGGCTTGTGACCCTTCACCTGGTTTAGCTGGCCGGTTGAAGCCCTTTAAGGTGCTGCTTTTGACCTTTAAAGCCCTTCACAGCCTAGGACCCTCGTACCTACGGGACCGCCTCTGCTGGTATGCCCCACGGAGAGCCTCAAGGTCCATAAATAACAACACCCTAGTGGTCCCAGGCCCTAAGGAAGTTAGATTGGCTTCAACCAGAGCCAGGGCCTTTTCAACACTGGCTCCGGCCTGGTGGAACGCTCTGCCTCATGAGACCAGGGCCCTGCAGGATATGATTTCTTTCCGCAGGGCCTGTAAGACAGAGTTGTTCCGCCTGGCCTTTGGCTTGGAGCCAATTTGATTCCCTCCCTCCCTCTCTTTCTTTTTTCTTTTCCTTCTCCTCCTGCAATGAGGCTACATTTTAATATTTTAATGTTTCAATATTTTAATGTTGTATTTTAATTTTGTTTTTAAGTTGTAATCATTCAACTTGTTTTTATTATTGCTTGTAAGCCGCTCTGAGCCTGGCCTTGGCTGGGGAGGGCGGGGTAAAAATAAAAATAATTATTATTATTATTATTATTATTATTCTGAAGGTGTGGCTGCTGTCACATGCTGATAGCTTCTGGGAGCCACAGGTGAGAGCTGAGTGCAGGGTAGAGACCAAAGGTGTACAAGCTAGCCCAGAAAGAGCACAGCATGTCCCCCACCAGAGGCACTACCCCTCCCCTCACACCCCGTAAATAGTTATAAATCGCAATTTACAATTAGTAACAATGGCGAAACTTTGCATAGCTCAACAATGGAAAAATTAAAATCCCCCAATACCGATAAACTGGCTGAGGAAAGCACGTGGATTATAAAACTAGCATACGAAAGGAACGTGGCATATAATCATTACAGAAACAAGTTCATTGAGAAATGGGCCTTATTCATTCAATTCTGGAATGACAAAGTAAGAGATGAAGTACCTCCTTATAATTTATTCACATTAGTTTAATACTCTGTCTTTATGCAGTAAGGAAAATGGAAGTAGAAATATTAAACTCCCACATCTGCATTATATGGCAGGACATAGGCGATGCTGCAACTAAATCTAACAGTCTTAAGGGAAGCACATAGCAATAAGTCTATTTGCATATGAAATGCCTTCTAAATGAAACATGACTTTTTAGCATATATGAAAAACTATATTGTGATTTCTGCACAGATTTACAAACACAGTATGACTAATAACTGTGCAGCAGCCATCAAGTATATTTTTGCCACTTTGGAACGACAGTGTTTGTTTCGGAATCTGTTTTCCATGTTTCCTTTATTTTTTAATAAAACTGATTATGCAAAGCCTGAAATTTAGCGATTCAAGGTTTCAGGTGAGAGCATCTCCCAACCCAACCTAGAGGTGCCAGAATCAATCCCTTCTGCATACACAGCTTATGTTCTGCCACTGAGCTACAGCCCTTCCATTGGCGACCCCTGTTCTAGGGGGATAAAGTGTCCCCTAATTATTTTTCAGCTGCCTGCTGTCTACTTTTAATGATTTTGGCTTTGTTTTAGAAGGGGGTGTCCCCTTGCACCAGGGTGTATTTTCTGGAATTTCTACCCCCACTCCTTGCAAACTAGGGTAATTCGCACAGGAAATTTTTTGAACGCCTTAGAGAGTGAACTAATTTAGCATATTCACCATACTTTAGTAAATAGTTGGGGGGGGGAGGCTTGGAAACTGCTAAGCTTGCCTAATATATTCACAGCTGGCTCCTGTTCGTTGTTACTGATGAATTTATTAAATGCCTGGGGCAAGGGGGTGGGCAGGAATCGGAGGGAAATTAAAGCACTGGGGAAAAGAATTCCAAATCATTTCCACAGGAAAAATAAATAAATCACACCCTGCATCAGTTCCAGGCTTGCTTTGCTGTGCCTTGCAATAACCGGGCCTTTCTGTTCTCTCCAACAAACAAGAGACACTGAGTTAATCTGGGTGATGTCATCAGCACAGCTGAGGTCACCCTTTTGTGTGTTATGACTTGAACATTAAATTCCATGGTTACCTTCTCATAGCTAGAGGCATGGAGACACCCCCTACTCACACATACTAAATCCCACCAGTGCATATATTTGTGTGTGTGTGTATTCTGCACTCATAATAAGGCTCTGTACACACTGTTCTTTAAAGCACATTAGAATCATAGAATCGCAGAGTTGGAAGAGACCCCGAGAGTTATCTGGCCCATCAGCCAGTCCATGTTTATTTATGGCAAAGAGGCAGCATATTAAACCAGAATTTCTGCATAATGCGCTACATGAACAATAAAAACGATTGATATGGGGTTTAACAATCAATATGCTAATTAAAGATAAAGGGACTCCTGACCATTTAGGTCCAGTCGTGGCCGACTCTGGGGTTGCGGCGCTCATCTCGCTTTACTGGCCGAGGGAGCCGGTGTACAGCTTCTGGGTCATGTGGCCAGCATGACTAAGCCGCTTCTGGCAAACCAGAGCAACACACGGAAACGCCGTTTACCTTCCCACCAGAGCGGTACCTATTTATCTACTTGCACTTTGACGTGCTTTCGAACTGCTAGGTTGGCAGGAGCAGGGACCGAGCAATGGGAGCTCACCCCATCGCGGGGATTCGAAACACCGACCTTCTGATCGGCAAGTCCTAGGCTCTGTGGTTTAACCCACAGTGCCACCCGCATCCCTAATATGCTAATTAAGTGTACTTAAAATATGTACTTAATATGCTAATTAAGTGTAATTAAAATACATGCATTGAGTCCACCCCCTGCAAGGCAGGAATCTTTTGCCTAACGTGGGGTTCAAACCCACAACCCTGAGATTAAGAGTCTCGTGCTCTACCAATTGAGCTATCCTGGGAACATTATTTCCCTCAAAGAATTCTGGGCACTGCGGTTTACCCCTCATAGAACTGCAATTCCCAGAAACCCGTTATCAAGCTACACATAGTGTGCAGAATGCTTGGCAGAAATAAAGCATGCTTTGAATAGGTTTTAAAGGCATAAGTGTGTACGCAGCTTTTAAAAATGTATTAAGAGTCTTGTGGTACTTGAAAGGCTTACACAGGCCCATGCAGAGCTTGTCTGAGGCCTAGGGCAAGTGTACCTGGCTGCATACCCTCCGACATTTCTCCAATGAAAATAGGGACATCCTATTCCATCATCATCAAAATTATCATTTTACTATTTATAACCCACCCCCACCCCATTTGACTGGGTTGCCCCAGCTACTCTGGGTAGCTTTGAACAACAACAACAACAAAAAATACTAAAACATTAAACATTTAAGAACTTCCCTATACAGAGCTGCCTTCAGATGGCTCGGGGGTCAGATAACTCCATACCCTCCGACATTTCTCCAGTGAAAACACAGAGTTCCTAAGGAAAAGTGGGACATTCCAGGATAAAATCAGAAACCAGGACGGCTTCAGCAAATCTGGGTCTGTCCCTGGAAAACAGGGACACTTGATGGGTCTGTGTTTTGCCCCCTGCCCCACTGCACGGGCCTGCAGTCTCACCCACATCATACCTTTTGAAGCTCATTTTGCCCCTCAAAGAATTTTGGGCGCTGTTGTTTACCCCTCACAGAGTTAAAATTCCCAGCAACCTTTAACTAACTGCAGTGCCCAGAATTCTTTGAGGGAAAGAATGTGCCATGTCTTTGAAGGCCATACATTTAGAGCACACGGCTCTCCCGAAAGAATCCTGGGAACTATAGTTCATTATGGATGCTGGGAACTGTCATTCTGTGAAGGCTAAACTACAATTCCCAGGATTCTTGGGGGGGAAGGCATGTGATTTAAATGTAAGGGGTGTACGTAGCCTTTAAAACCTGGGGGCAAGGACTGTCTTATCACTATTATTTGTGAGCTGCCCCAGGGAGACTTTCCTCATCTGGAGCTCAGGATAAATAAAGAGCAGCTGGCTGAATAGATTATCCATCCCAGTGGTCCCCAAAGGGGGCGCTGGGATTACCTAGGGCAGCCCTAGAAGGCGAATGGGCGGCAAGGGGGTGCTGAAGGTGTAAATTACTACCAGACTTTGAAAAGCCGGTATCTGTGGATCAAGTTCATCAGTTTTGTTGAATTAATTAACCTAAATAGTTTTAATTGGATTTTGAATAAATGTGCAATTAATTGTTACTGTTCTCAATGTTATGGCGCTATTATCAACCTTAGCAAGTCATGCAAACTGGTGTTCTGAATAATGCTTTTTTGATATATCGTCCAAATCCAGTTTCAAATCTATGTCATGGTGCTGGTTTCGTAATTTTAGACTTGACAATATATCACAAATCAGGGTGTGGGTGGGGAAGGGTGCTATGCAAAAAACCACAATGCGGGGGAAACTGTGAAGCCAGCCTTTACGTAACTCAGTCCTTATTTCAGGCATTGTGATATATCCGTATATCGTGATGTTTAGCTGGTGAGATATCGCAGTGTTGAAAACCAGATGTCGCCCAGCTCTAGTGGGGATGAGTTTATGGAAACCAAGGAGCCGATGGCTCAAAAAAGTTCGGAAACCACTGATTTATCCCCTCTCCCTTCCCCATTCCTCTCCACCTCACTCTTCCCCACCCACAGATGTCTCCCCGATTGTGGCGGGCCTGATTGGCGCCACCGTCTTAGTGGTGTCCGTCTCTATGACGGTCTTCGTGTGGACCTGCTGCCACCAGCACGCGGAAAAGAAGCACAAGACCCCCCCTTACAAGTTCATCCACATGCTGAAAGGCATCAGCATCTACCCAGAGACCCTGACCAACAAGAAGAAAATCATACGGATCCGGCGAGACAAGACGGGAGCTGCCATGAAAGATGGAAGAGGCAACCTTCTGGTGGACGCGGCAGAAGCTGGCCTGGTGGGTTCCGACAGGATCTCCAGCGCGGCTCCCTGTGTCAACCAGCTCCCGATCAAAGTCGATTACGGGGACGAGTTGAGCCCGGACCAGAGCTTGACTCCGGCAGGCAGCAAGCCTTCCTCTCCCTCTTCCCCGGAAGAAGAGGTCACTCTGGGGACGCTGACCTTCTCCGTGGACTACAACTTCCCCAAGAAAGCTCTGGTCGTGACCATCCAAGAAGCCCGCGGGTTGCCGGTCATGGACGAGCAAAACCAAGGTTCCGACCCCTACATCAAGATGACAATCCTGCCCGACAAGAGGCACCGGGTGAAGACGCGCGTCCTCCGCAAGACGCTGGACCCCGTCTTCGACGAGACCTTCACTTTCTACGGGATCCCCTACAGCCAGCTCCAGGACCTGGTCCTCCACTTCCTGGTTCTGAGCTTCGACCGCTTCTCTCGAGACGATGTCATCGGGGAGGTGATGGTGCCGCTCGCCGGGGTGGACCCAAGCACAGGGAAGGTCCAGCTCACCAGGGAGATCATCAAAAGGAATATACAGGTAGGGGAGCTGGGACCCAGGGGTTTCACTAGGAGGACTGTCCAAGTTCCCTTTCCTGGTACAAGACCTTTATAAAGACCCTAGGTACTTAAAAGATTTTGGCACCCCCATATATATCAAATTCAAAAAATAAACCATAACAAACTAGAAAATGATTTTTTGGGAAAAAACCTACAGTAAGATGGAAAATAACATTTATTTTTGCATGCTTTCACCTTATTTATATTTGGGGGGGAAGTTTTCCTCATTTTTCTAATTGCAAAGTCTTTGATCAGGTCCTTACGTAACGCACCTGCTTCTACACTTAGTAGAGATAAGGCATGTTGCCTGCCTTGGTGCATGGTTGTTCTGTTGGGGTTTCTTAAATATACATCGACTGAGAAAATGGACGCCCATCCGAATCGTTTGTAATATTTGTATGTAATTTTTTCATTTATTGTGGGAGCCTTTTTCGTGGAACCTGGTTTTAGCTGCATCGTAGCAAATCTGGCAATGGAACATTTCTGTGGTGCCCTCCTTCCCTTGATGCCCTAATCATGCGCTTATGTTGCTTCATGCCCTGTTCTTGCCGTTGGTGTCCAAGCGAGCCGGGGGGGGGGGTGAGCCAGCAATAGGGGTTGTACCTGCTTGGTAGGACCCACAAGACAGGTGTGCTGATGCAAGAGCCAACGGGAACTGGTCTGTGACCATGGACCAGGACTGCCCCTCTCAAGTCCAGCAGCCTGTTCTAGCAGCAACCAAACAGATGCCTTAATGCAATGTTGTTGGACTACAACTCCCATCATCTCTAGCCAGCAGGGCCAGTGGTCAGGGATGATGGGAATTACATAGTCCAGCAACAGCAGGAAACACAGGTTCGAGAATCACTACCCTAAAGGGAAGGAAACCCAAAAGCAGCAGCGACTCTCCCCACCTGGAACTATTAAGGAGTAGACTGCCACCAATGGTGCAGGGAGGAGACAGCCATCATGGCAAGGAACCAGAGATAGCCTGATCCGTAGTGAATCTTTCATTTATTTTATTTCACAAAATTTATATACTGCTTGATTGTAAAAGAAACAAACACCCAGCAACCCCAAAGTGGTTCACAAAACGAATAAAACAATGAAATTACTAGTAAAACACAGTCATATTTACACAGCATTCAGTTAAACAGTAAAACACAATTTAAAGTATTCAATAATAATTGAAATCAACAATAAGCTAAAAAGCAGATTAAAGCACGTGTTGACATTTTGCGTGCCGATAGGCTTTGCCTAAACAAAAGAACGTTTTTAGCAGGTGCTGAAATGAGTGCAGCAAAGGTGCCTCTCAACAGGCAGGGAGTTCCAAAGTATGGATGTAGCCCCAGTAAAAAAGATGGATTTTCTTACAAATGCAGACCAAGTATTATGTGGCAGCTTCAACAGCGCCAGTTATTATACCCACCAGCCGCTTTATACAAAAGGGAAAGCATCAGAGTGACACAATAGGATAAAATGCAACACGTAAAAAGATCTGAAACCAGAAAATAAATAATAATAATAATAATACCAGGAAGAATACAAAATGCATAAGATGCTTCCCCAGTAACATATTAATAAGGAGAAATCGTAGCCACCCCCAACTGAAAGATGAGCACCAGTGCATGAGGCAACATTAAATAACCAAAGGTCGGAGTAAACAAAAGGTATCAGCCTGGCTCCCAGGGGCTGACAGGGATGGCGCCAGGCATGTCTCCCTGGGGAAAGCATTCCACAGACTTGTCTCATCCTCTCTGAAAGCCCTCCAAGTTGGTGGCCATCTCTGCCTCGTGTGGACGTGAATTCCATAGTTTCATTTTGTGCTGTTGGGGAACAAGTATTACCGTATTTTTCACTCTACAAGATTCACCAGACCATAAGACGCACCTTGTTTTTGGAGGAGGAAAACAAGAAAAAAAATATCAGAAGCCAGAACAGCAAGAGGGGTCGCTGTGCAGCGAAAGCAGCGATCCTTCTTGCTGTTCTGGCTTCTGGGATAGCTGCGCAGCCTGCATTCGCTCCATAAGATGCACACACATTTCCCCTTACTTTTTAGGAGGGAAAAAGTGAGTCTTATAGAGCAAAAAATACAGTAACTGTGCACCTCTGGGAATTGGAGACAAGGCAAAGGTTCACCACAGCAGCAACTGGGGCTGTTCTCATGAGATCCAAAGAGAGCTGTTGTCCGAGCACAGGCCTTTTCTGCCTGGTCCAGAAGGACCTTTTCCTATTTTCCTAACTGCAGATTCCTTGCATTCTGCTGAAACTCCTGGGTTCTGCATGAGAGGATGCATCTCAAGCTCAGAACGGTGCGATTCCAGTTTTCTGGGCATGTTTCTTCCTCCTCCTCCTCTAAAGAGGAGGAGGAACATCTGTTCTGTAACCTGGGATTTTGCAAGGCATTGTTCCAGCCAGAGGAAGCAGCAGACTCCCCGGGAGCGCGAGCAGTAATGCAAACAAGCGCAGAGCTGGCAAGGACGGTAATCAGACCAAGGATTGGGGTCAGCCGCCTTCAAAGTGGTAGCTGGAAAGCAGCCAGATCAGCACTATGGAGGAGGGCGCTTTGGGAAACTGGGCTACATTACGACAGATAAACAGGATGTGGATTTTTGCTCAGGCAATACACAATCTAATGTTTTTTTTTTCTCTGTGCGTGTGCTTAGCTCCCAAACAAACGTAACAGGCAGATTTGGGGGGGAGGGAATAGCACGGTGGCAGGGAATCTGTCCCGGGTTCAATCCCAGCCCCTGCAGATAGAGCTGGGAGAGATTCTGCATTTGAAATCCTGGACAGTTCTTGCAGATGATACTGAACTAGATGGGCTAATGTTCTGACTCTGCAAAAGGTAGTTTCCTCTGCTTCAGGGATGGGATGACTGTGGCCCTTTAGATGCTGTGTGTGACATTGTGACCCACTTTATCACTCCCCTTCAGGAGTCTCAAAGCGGCTAACATTCTCCTTTCCCTTCCTCCCCCACAACAAACACTCTGTGAGGTGAGTGAGGCTGAGAGACTTCAAAGAAGTGTGACTGGCCCAAGGTCACCCAGCAGCTGCATGTGGAGGAGCGGAGACGCGAACCCGGTTCACCAGATTACGAGACTACCGCTCTGAACCACTACACCACACTGGCTCCACGCTGCTGTTGGACTCCAACTCCCAGCAGCCCTTGCAAGAGGGGCCAATGGTCAGGGATGAGCTGCAGTCCAGCAGCATCCTTCCAGGAGCCACATCCCAAGGGCAGGCAGAGCCAGAGGCAGAATGGGCAAAGCAACGAAGGTTTCCTTTGTACAGTAGGCTGCTTCTCTACACTCACCCCCATCTCTATGCTCCATCCAAGCAAGTAAAAAGGAATAGCAGAGTTCAAGGACTCATTCCAGCCAGGGAGATGCACCATGGGAGGGTGAAAAGCAGGGCTGATAAGGAATGTACATAAGGAACACATGTGGAGAGACCCAAGGACCAGTTGGAGAGGTCTGGAGGGCCACACCAGAGATTCTCCATCTTTGGCACAAAAGAAAGCTCCTCTGGCAGATCTTAGGCTTCTGCTTTGAGTTGTCTAGACATTTCTTTAATTAGGCAGGATGGGTGGCTTTCAAATAAATACATAAATCCCGCTTCAATGGGATGACACACCTCTCTGCACAATTAGAGGGGGAGAAATAAAATCTTTGGGCTCGTAAACCAGCTGTTGTGTCTTGCTGTCGGGCTTTCTAGGCAGTTAAGCTTCCCTTGCTTCTGTCTGCCTTCCAAGCTGCAACTATTGCCCCATTCTAGCTGGTCTGAGGATCTGTGATTGGGGGGGGGGTCCCCCTCCCCTCGAGCAAAGTCAGAAAGCAATTGACACTGGAACAGAAAGCGACTGGCATGCAGTTATTCCTGCGGCTGAGAACTGGAAATGTTGGCACGTCTTGCTTGGGGGCTTCCCATAATGCGTATCTGATTCGCCACTGGGAAAACATGATGCTGGATTAGAGATGGGCCAGCGGGCCGTTCTTATGATGCAGAGAGGGATGAGAAAGTGAGTTACAGGCAAGCTGTTAGGAGTCGCATCTTTCAGGACCAGGGAGAGCTCCTTGAGACAACAGGAAGCCAATCCAATGAAGGCTCCCTTTTTCTGCCGTCCCCCTTCCGATGTCTTTGGACAATAGTTCCCATCAGCCCCTTTGTAAACTACCTGCTGCCTTTGTAAACTACAATCATACCTTGGGTTACAGACGCTTCAGGTTGCGGTTTTTTGGGTTACGGAATTACCGGAAGTACCGGAATGGGTTACTTCCGGGTTTCGGCGGTAGCACATGCACAGAATCGCCAAATTGCGCTTTGCGCATGCGCAGAAGCTCCGGATTGCAACCCGAGCATGTGCATACGTGCCGCTGCAGGTTGTGAACACTGCAGGTTGCGAACGTGCATCCCGCACGGATCACGTTCACAACCCGAGCGTCCGATGTACTTTGCTGTTGGGGGTGGCGGGGAAGGTTTTCACTATCAGAGTAAAAAGAGGTGGGGGTGGGAAATCTGTGTGGCTCTCCATGTCCCATCAGTCTCAGCCACCACAGCCAACTGTTCAGAGATCGTGGGGACTGGAGTCCAGCAACACCTGGAGAGCCACAGCCTCCACACTCCTCTCCTAGACACATGTCCCAGCCAATCAGGGATCACACATTAAATGCACTTACAACAGAGATGTAAAGCAGGGATGAGGAGCTCATGGCCTTCCAGATATTGTTGGGCTATGTCTCTCACCAGCCCCTAGCCAGCATGGGTCCATAGCTCAGAGGTTTAACAACTGTCACAAGGTCCCAAGCTCTGTCCCCAGCATCTCCAGGTAGGGCTGGGAATGCCCCCCTGCCTGAAACTCTGGAGAGCTGCTGCCAATCAGTGTGGACAGTGCTGAGCTGGGTGGACCCCTATGTTTCCAAGAGTCCCAAAAGCTGGGCAGAGAAGCTTGGAAGGCCCTTGACCTTAGGACATGTGCGTGTGTAGGAAGAGAGTTCAATGGGAGAAGAGGAGGGAGAGGAAAATATGGCAAGGAAAATTAAAACTGGTAATGGAAGGAGGAGGGGAGTACAGCCTGTGGCTGTGGTCAGTTCAGACACTTGTAAAGACAGAAGGAGAAAGTGTGACACAGAGAGAGAGAGAGGGGGAGAGAGAGAGAGAGAGAGAGAGAGAAGGGGGTGATGGAAGGAGAGGGAAAAGCAATGGCCCCATTCATTTCCAGCTCTGGCACCACTAAATGCCAGCCATGTATGATATGTATGCAGCTTTAGATGCTTATGCTATAGCAACTTCAAGGCCCCCTCCTAAGGTTGCCATACGTCTGGATATACCCAGAATACTGTAGTCAGAAGCAGTGTCTGGGCAGAAATATGCAAAATGTCCAGGGAAATCCGGACGTATTACAACCCATGTCAGCAGTGTCGTTTTTGCCAGTTTTCCTAAAGAAATAGCTCAAAATCAACTTTGCTCGCCCCCCTCCTGCAAAAAATAATAATAACGCAGCTCTGTAAGGGGAATAGGGAGTTTCATATGAAATCTCAGTGCCCCTAATAAACTACAGTTCCCAGGATTCCTTTTTTTTTTTTTGCAGGGAGGGAGTCATAACTGTAAAGATGGTGTAAGAGCTCTTTAAACGTACAGTGGTACCTCGGGTTACATACACTTGAGGATACAGATGCTTCAGGTTACAGACTCTGCTAACCCAGAAATAGTACCTCGGGTTAAGAACTTTGCTTCAGGATGAGAACAGAAATCGTGCTCCGGTGGCGCAGTGGGAGGCCCCATTAGCTAAAGTGGTGCTTCAGGTTAAGAACAGTTTCAGGTTAAGAATGGACCTCCAGAACGAATTAAGTACTTAACCCAAGGTACCACTGTATAGTGCAGATGGGGCCCTCCTTATGGGGTCGCCGCTGCGAGATCATATTCATCCGGTACTATACCAGCTGCACTGGCTCCCGGTGGAGTACAGGATCAGGTTTAAGGTGCTGGTTTTAACCTTTAAAGCCCTATACAGCCTAGGACCCTCGTACCTACGGGACCGCCTCTCCTGGTATGTCCCACAGATAAATTTACGGTCTGCAAATAAAAACATCCTAAAGATCCCAGGCCACAGAGAGGTTAGGCTGGCCTCAACCAGAGCCAGGGCTTTCTCGGCCGCAGCTCCAATCTGGTGGAACGCTCTGTCACAAGAGACTAGGGCCCTGCGGGACCTGACATCCTTCCGCAGGGCCTGCAAGACAGAGCTGTTCCACCAGGCCTTTGGTCAGGGCGCAGCCTGACCCCCTCCTCTGGCAATCTGCACAGAATTTTGCTTGATGGTTGCCATTAATTTGATTTTAATTAATTTTATAATAAATGTTTTTAGAACGTTGGACTATTTTGATTGTTGTTAGCCGCCCTGAGCCCAGCTTCGGCTGGGGAGGGTGGGATATAAATAAAATTTATTATTATTATTATTATAGTTTCCAATCCCAATGTGCAAACCAGACTTTGCTGGTTCAGATGCCTCAAAACATGAAAGGCTGGGCATGGGGAATCACTATGGATGAGGAGAGGAGAGAGGGTCCATCTCACATCTGGTGCGACATCTGAACCAGCCTCATGCATGTTTCCTGACAGCGCCCCTACAGTGAAATGGAGCAGGGTCAGCCAGCACGATCCCTTACAGACATTGCTGGACTCCAACGCCCACTAGCCTTGATCACAGTCATGGCTCTCCCACCCCCAATGAATCCTGGGAGCTGTAGTTTGTTAAGGGCACTGAGAGTCGTTATGAGACTCCCCCATTCACCTCACAGAGCTACAATTCCCCGGGAAAAGGAATTGGTTTGGTTGCTAAACCATACTGGGAACAGCAGCTCTGTGAGGGGAGTAGGGGCATTTCCTAACAAATTTCAATGCCCGTAACAAACCACAATTCCCAGGGTTCTTTGGGGGAAGAAGCCACAACTGCTTAAATAAGCAGAAGAGTGCTTTAAATATACAATGGTACCTCAGGTTACAGACGCTTCAGGTTACAGACTCCACTAACCCAGAGATAGTACCTCGGGTTAAGAACTTTACCTCAGGATAAGAACTTTACCTCAGGATAAGAACTTTACCTCAGGATAAGAACAGAAATCGTGCGGTGGCGGCACAGCAGCAGCGGGAGGCCCCATTAGCTAAAGTGGTACCTCAGGTTAAGAACGGACCTCCAGAACGAATTAAGTTCTTAAACCGAGGTACTACTGTATGGTGCAGATGGCGAAGAGTCGTTTGGCCCAAACTGGGCACTTTCCACTTGTGATTCCGGGAGGAAGGGAAAGGAGGAGGACTGGCTTTAGACAAACATTAACTCAAGAGTCCCGGGCAGTTCCCAAAATGCCGAATCTAGGACACGACGGCCATGGCAACCCAGCCTGCTATTCACAGCCTTAACAACGGCTTTTTTAAAACACTTGGCAAGGCTCTGTTTTATTTCCACTGTATTAACTCCCTTTCAACACAGCCATGTCTTTCCTTTAAAAAAGAAGAAGAAATGACCTACTCACTATGGACAAGTCAGCTACCACCGAAAAGCATTTAAGGCCACAGCGGAAGCACGGAGGATGTAAACAATAAAACACCATACCCTCCCTAATTGCAGAGTTCGCTGGCGATTTCGAACCTGCATTTTACGGTGGTGTGGTGGTTGCTCTTTCCTAGGAGGTCAAGATTCTGGTCCCTTTCAAAGGTGGGCCATAGGAAGCTGTCTTATACAGAGTCTATCTAGCCCGAGGGTTTACCCACACTGACTGGCAGCAGCGGGTCTCCACGGTTGCACGTGACAGGTCTTTCCCAGCCCTACCTGAAGGATTGAACCTAGGAAGTTCTTCGCTTCAAGCAGGAGCTCTCCCACTGACCTACAGCCCTTCCCCAAGAAATACAAGATTCTAGTCCTCATTGTTCTGCACAAAGTGCTGATTTTAAATAGGAACATGGGAAGCTGTCTTGTACAGTAGTACCTTGGGTTAAGAACTTAATTCGTTCCGGAGGTCCATTCTTAACCTGAAACTGTTCTTAACCTGAGGTACCACTTTAAGCTAATGGGGCCTCCTGCTGCCACATGATTTTTGTTCTCATCCTGAAGCAAAATTCTTAACCCGAGGTAGTATTTATGGGTTAGCGGAGTCTGTAACCTGAAGCGTCTGTAACCTGAGGTACCACTGTATATCGAGTCACGTCAAGGGTCCACCTAGCTCGGCGTTACCTATATTGACCGGAAGCTATCTTGTACTGTGTCAGACCATTGTTCCGTTTAATAATAATAATAATAATAATAATAATAATAATAATAATATTGACTGCTGTAGAAACAGGTTGTTGGACTAGATGGGCCTTCTTATGTTCTCCTTCCCCACTGGCTTCCTTCAGCTGACCCTTTCTAGATGATTATTTGCAGAAGCGGATGGTTGGACCTGAGGGTGGCCAGGGCTGCTTGGGGCCTGTTGTTCTGAGGATGTGCGACCTTATCTCTTTCCAGAAATGCGTCAGCAGAGGGGAGCTGCAGGTTTCCTTGTCTTACCATCCTGTCGCCCAGAGGATGACTGTGGTGGTTTTGAAGGCGAGACATCTGCCCAAGATGGACATCACCGGCCTCTCAGGTAGAAGCTATTTACTCCGCCCCATCTCCATGTTTTCCTTGTGTGCCCCTTTGAACGCTCTTTTGTTCGTGTTACTTTTTAATGAGGGATGGATCTGTTCATTTCGGTTCCTCTCGGTTTCTCATTCCCCCCCCCCCGAACCTTAAATTCAGATCCCTGCATTTCTGCAGTGATTTGCTTTTTTTTTTTTTAGTGAAAACTTGTCAGCATTGTACTGCAATTTCCCCCCCAAAACTGTTTGCAGTTTTGCCTAATAGATGCATTTTGCAAAGCAATTTCCCCACTTTTGTATGCAATTTTATGCACACTCGGTACATGCATTTTCGTACACATTGTTGGAGAACACACAGTGCTGCAAAATTTGGAGAGCTGCAAAGGACGGCGGTGCTTCGATTCACGTAGTTTCAGAAAATGTGGATTTCGTAGGTCCACCTTTAAATGCAAACTGAGTTTCTCCCTCCCTCCCATTTGTAACCACTGAGCCAGCTTATGAATCCTGTGCATCCTTGGAGAGATCAGAAGGCAGCCATCCCTTTCTCCTAATGTTTGCCCCAAATCTGCTCTCCTGCAACTAAAGCCCACTGGTTCTAATCCTGGCCAGGACAGCAGCAAAGAACATCTCTTTGCCCTCTTCTATGTGGCAGCCCAAAAAGATTGCACTGTGAAGTGCCCTAAGCATTAAAAACGAAACAAAAAAAACACCCCAACATCTCCAGGGTGTTTGAAATGTAAAGCCCCGAAGACACAACTTGATCCTTCATTTGATGTTCACACCTTTTGAGGACAAATTCCAGCTAGGCAAAGAGCACTCGAGGAAGGTGCGGAGCAGGGCTGGTGAGGGGCGTGGCCTGGGAAGAGGAGGTGTGGCCTGAAGAGACTCGAGAGGGCTGGATGGCATGACATAGTTGGCATTTCTCCATCCCTGACTTGCACAGACCAGGATCGCAACCTTCAGTGGCTTTGCTTTATTTTTCAGTTACCTCCCTCAACGCGAACTCTGGTTCACGAACCCCTAACAGAATGTCAGGGAGGAAAACGTTCTCCTCGGTCTCTTGAGTTAGCGACCTTGTGTTTAGGAGATTGGGGCTATGGTTTGGCTTGCCTCATCTTGAGCTGCTTGCTTTTCAGAGTCCCCACCCATGCCCCAGAAACTCTGCCATCATACAAATTCCTAGAAGAGGAGAGGTCTTTGCCAAGGGCTAAACAGAGTCTCCATGTGGATTGGCAGTATATCTCTGAATATTAGTTGTTAGGGGCACATCATGGGAGAGATTCTGTTGCCCTTCAGGCCCAGGTTCTGAGCTTCCTGGAGACATCTGGCCAGACTAAATGGACCTTTGGTCTGTTCTTATGTTTTTACCTTCAGCCCCGTTCCAGGACTCAGGAACATATGAGAGAAGCCAGGGATTGGGGAAGACTGTGGCCTTCCTGATTGATGGTGGACTACAACTCCCATCAGCCCCTAGCCAGCTTGGCCAAAGGTCAAGGATGATGGGAGTTGGAGTCCAGCAACGTCTGGAGGGACACACATCCTCCAGGAATCTGCCTTATACTGAATCAGACCCTTGGCCTGGCTTAGCTCTGAGCATTGTCTACAATCATAGAATCATTGATTCATAGAAGCATAGAAGCATAGAGTTGAAGGGAGCATCCATGGCAGAGGGCCCTCCAACCTCTGTTTAAAAACCTCCAGTGATTGGCAGGAGCTCTCAGCAGAGCCTCAGGCAGCTCTCTCCAGGTCTTTCCTATCCCTACCTGGATTTGCAAGGGTTTGGACTCTAATAATAATAATTTATTATTTGTACCCCACCCATCTGGCTGGATTTCCCCAGCCACTCTGAGCGTCTTTCAACAAAGATTAAAAATACATTAAAATGTCACACATTGAAAACTTCCCTGAACAGGGCTGCCTTCAAGTGTCTTCTAAATGTCAGATAGTTGTTTATCTCTTTGACATCTGGTGGGAGGGCGTTCCACAGGGCAGGTGCCACTACTGAGAAGGCCCTCTGCCTGGTTCCCTGTAGCTTTGCTTCTCGCAATGAGGGAACCACCAAAAGGCCCTCAGCGCTGGACCTCAGCGTCCAGGCAGAACGATGAGGGTGGAGACGCTCCTTCAGGTATACTGAATGACCCCTGGGGTCCCTTCCAACACTACAGTTCTATGATTCTGATGTGTTCAGGGCAGCTGTTTACCAGCTCCATCTGGTATGCTGGCTGAGACCCTACAACTTTTAGAAGACACCTAAAGGCAGCCCTGTATTGGGATTTTTTTTTAATGGTTAGCTTTTTATTATGTTTTCTATATGTTGGAAGCCAGGGGCAACCCAGCCACTCGGGGCAGGATATAAATAATAAAAAAAATGATTATCATCATCATTATTCCTTCACTTTCTTCATAAACATGGTGAGCCAATCTCACTCCAATTAGGGTGAGGGGGGTCCCTGCTCATTCTGCTGAGGGGGGGGGAGGTTCCCAGAGTTCTGTCCCCCCCAAAAAAATCCCGCTCGGGTGATACCACCAGTTATTGGCCTGTGTTATTGGCTTGCTCCTCTCCCTTCTTTCCGTCAGACCCCTACGTCAAGGTGAACGTGTACTACGGCAGAAAGCGCATAGCCAAAAAGAAAACTCACGTCAAGAAGTGCACTTTGAACCCCGTCTTCAACGAATCCTTCATATACGACATCCCCGTGGATCTCCTCCCGGACGTCAGCATCGAATTCCTGGTCATCGACTTCGACCGCACCACGAAAAACGAAGTGGTGGGCCGGCTGATCCTGGGAGCGCACAGCGTCACGGCGGGCGGCGTGGAACACTGGCGGGAAGTGTGCGAGAGCCCCAGGAAGCAGATCGCCAAATGGCACAGCTTGAGCGAATACTAGCAGGGTGAGCGGGGGGGCACCGGGCGCTTGCACCAGGCGCCCCTGCGCAAACAGACACTTGGCCTTTCATTTCCTCCTCCTCCTCCTCTTCCTCCCGCCTTCCGTCTTAGTCGTAGAAACTTAAAGGTTTCCGTACGAAGCAGCTGATCGGTTCTCTCTAGTGATGTTTAACTTTTGCAGGGCACACTAAAAGTTCTAAAAAAAAGAAAAAGGGGAAAAAAGGAACTTACAAAAAGTTAAAAAATAAAACCTAACAAAAAAAAGAGCATTAATTTTAATAAATACCACAAAACATATATATATATATAAATATATATAATAAAATAAAAAGGTGTAACCGCACTGTTGCATGCCGAATACAAAAGTTAAAAAAAAAACCACAAAAAAATAATAATATAACTTTACCAATATCAAAAGTACAGTTTTTAATACGATTTATCTGTCACTATGAAAGTCGTGTTTTGTGCTGAACTGTATTTGTTGGTAATTCACCTCAATTGGCCTATTCAGCTTCTCTTCCAACTTATTCTTTTTTAATAATAATAATAATATTGGATTCTGGTGTTGAATCGCTGGTTCTTTGTTGACATCGTCTGCCCACCCCCTTCCTGTTGATTCTTTGCAATTCTTTGTGACTTGGGTGATCTAATGCTGTTGGTGTACATGCAATGGTTTTGGGGCATCTATCTTGGATCAGAGAGATCTCAGAGTGGATGGAAATGGTTCCTGGGAATTATAAGTGCTGCTGAAAGCAATTCCCTCCCTGTAAAACAGGATCCTGGAATAATTTCCTTGTCCTTGTTGTCCAGAACATTGCAAGATGCTCTCCACTCCACCCACTTCCGAAGCAGTCTCTTTCAAAGAAAAAGACTTCATTTGGAGTTGGACCAGGAGGCATCTATCTCCCTCTTAATCTTTCAAGCCAAGTCTTTGCCCTGCCTCTACCATGATTTGAAAGCGGGCCTCTTAGGTGTTGCTCATCTGAAGCAGGAAAGTGCCCCTTGAGCTGTGCCGCCTGAAGCAGTGGTGCAGGCTACTGATGTAGCAGACCCGGCCCTGCCAATAGGCGACTAGACAGGGTTGCATGTGCATTGATCCTAATGCCTACAAGGGTGACAAGCAGGTAACTCTCACAAAGAACCCACCACCAATGTTTATTTACTATTACTGTTGTCATTAATTAGAGCCTGGTCGGCTTCCAGTGCATGCTTCACAGCTAGATCAGCCGATAGAAATAAATAGCCACTGGAGATCTATATCTAAGCAAGAGTTTTCCAGCTCCACAACCTCCCCTTGCAACATTCTGGGCACCTGAAATGCTCCACCAACACTTATTGGTGACGGAGTGCGCAAGCTTTCAAGCTGACACAGAAGCCATCCCCAGACAGGTCAAGATTGTCTGCTGAAGAGCTCTGCATCATCCAGAAGCCTGCAACTTCCACATCAACAGATAGGGCTGAAAGAAAAATCAATCTCCCCTACCCAGCCTCCTATCCCAGGACCAACCCGTAAGCCATTTGCAAAGCAAGGCAGATCCAAGTTAAGGGGGAAGCCACGTGGGAAATGGGTGTTTCAGTATTCACCAAGTCACATCCATGCACTTAACTCATCCTGTGCCCTGTATGCTGTAAATACTGTATCATACTTTAAAACAAAAACTAGGAGAAATTGTTTCAGTGGTGGGGAGGCACCTTGGCAGCAGAGAGGTGAACTGTCTCGGCACAGCCCCGTGGGAGGTATCTCCATTTCACTCAGAGCAGACCCATTGAAATTCAGGGGCCTAAGGGAGTTGTGTCCATCAGTTTCAATCGGTCTGCTCCGTGGAGGTCTAACATTGGATGCAACTTTGTGTTTGGGGGAGAAGGAAGACTACTGGAAACCCAGCCCTTCCCTCCCTAAAAGCCCTTGGGGGTCAAGTATCCTTCCATGCTTGCTCTAGTTCAGGCACCCCCAAACTCCGGCCCTCCAGCTGTTTTGGGACTACAACTCCTATCATGCCTAGCTAACAGGACCAGCGGGCAGGGATGATGGGAGTTGTAGACCCAAAATAGCTGGAAGGCCGAGTTTGCCTATGCCTGCTCTAGTTTCTGAGTCTGGAAACGGAGTCACATACAAACCCCCACCCCCGTCCAGGAGAGCTAGAGGGATCAATGCCCAGCTCACCCCCATTTCCACCTAACGTCAAACCAGGTAGATCTCTTGTTGATTCACAGTTGGTTGGCAAGAGCTTCTCACTTAGCTAATAGCAAAAACTTCACCCCTCAGAAATAGAGCCCTGGAGGGGGAGCTGTTGTCTCCAACTAAGTGCTACTCAGAGTAGACCCAGTGAAATTAATGAACCTACTTTGATGAGTCTACTCTAGCATTTTTTGTCAGTGGGCCCTGGGTCCAGTACTGACCACAAATTCAAAGACTGAGCACCTTATTGTTTAATTTGGGGGGGGGGTACGCTGCCAGCCTTGGCAACTATTTTTTTTTGGGGGGGGGTTATCAGGGTTCCAGTAGATCAGCCTTCCTCATGCTGGCCGGGGTTGATGGGAGCTGCAGTGCACAACATCCAGAGGGCACCAGGTTGAGGAAGGCTGCAGGAGAGTGTTGCTGGACTACAACTCCCATCATGCCCAGCCAGCTTAGCCATTGGTTAGGGATGCGACACACAGCAGTGAAGAATGCTGATCCTACAAGCCTGAAGCCTACCAACGCCTGCCCTAAAGGATGTGTTGCAAGGTAAGCTATGAAGCACTGCTGTAAAATGGGTGAGTGGCCTCAATACCTGCAAGTCCCGTCTGTCCCAAGTGCCATGGCTCAATGACCAGGGGGTGATGGGAACTGTAGTACAGCAACACTTAGAGGGTTTTCCCCAGCCCAGGAGTAAGATTTATTGAGAGACAGACACTCCGAACCATTTCAGAACGGGGAGAATTAGGACCTCTTCTCTGCAAAGGCCAGGTTGGTGCCGAATTTGGAATTCAAACTGATCATCTTGACGCTTAATCCTTACATCACCCCCTTCCTCCTCAACCCAATTTTGACCCCAATTACTGATAGATTAGGGCTCATCTTGAATTATCAATATTAATTATCCCCGCTTTTTTTTTAAAAAAAAACTTTTCAATGCAAATAAAACCCATCTTTCTTAAGCCTAAATCATCTCTCCTTCTTCCAGCTGTAAAGAGGGGAAAAAATGAAGTTGTTGTCAAGGAAATGTGCTCAGGGTTAAAATAGATTTAGGCTTATTGGGCAGATGTGAAGAGATCCATTACTCCTCAGGAATAATGGGGAAATAAAGAGGGTCAGATAACAGTCGGGTTTTGGGTTTGTTTGTTTTTATTAAAAAATGTATTGACAGTTGCCTCACTGTAATATCTCCCAAATGTGGGTCATTTTCGGTTGGGATTTTGTTTTTTTTCCTTTTCACCTCGTGTCTATTGTAAAATTAAAAAGAAAAAAAAATAACTTGGACAAGTTACAACTTGGTGTCAAAACAAAACAAAAAAAGTAAGAAAAAAAATAACTTGAACCGTTGTACAACTGCATAATGCTGTAATGCTAACCTAACAAATATGTAATGCTACCTGTAATGTCAAAATTGTTTTAACGCACATTGAGCGTTCAAATAAAGATGGAGTCACTTTAACTTTACTTACAGATCGCAAAATAATTATTTTGAGGTTGCTGGAGCCACACACTTTCATCAGCAGAGGGTTCCCACTGCACAGCGGTAGAGCACTTGCCTTGCGCACATTAGCGGTTCAGTCCCCAACATCTCCTGTTGAAAGGATCCCACATGGCAGAGTGGAAGTGAGGGCAAGGAGGGGGAAGAACATGGCTGAAGAGCTACTTGTTGTTGTTCTTTAGTCGTTTAGTCGTGTCCGACTCTTTGTGACCCCCTGGACCAGAGCACGCCAAGCACTCCTGTCTTCCACTGCCTCCTGCAGTTTGGTCAAACTCATGTTGGTAGCTTCGAGAACACTGTCCAACCATCTCGTTCTCTGTCGTCCCCTTCTCCTTGTGCCCTCCATCTTTCCCAACATCAGGGTCTTTTCCAGGGAGTCTTCTCTTCTCATGAAGTGGCCAAAGTATTGGAGCCTCAGCTTCACGATCTTTCCTTCCAGTGAACACTCAGGGCTGACTTCCTTCAGAATGGAGAGGTTTGATCTTGCAGTCCATGGGACTCTCAAGCCTGACTCCATGGACAAAGACAACAGGAGAGCTACTACTGCCCATTAAAGCAGATGTGAATGGGATAGACTGAGTAGAAGTTCCCTTCCTGTTTGTGGAAGACTTGGTTGGGTCTACAACCAAGTGTTGCTGTGCAGCACGCTCCTGTGCAGGACCGCTATCCTGTCTCCTGCACAACACATGCAAACAGAGGCTCTTGAGATCCCTCTTCACCGGGAGCTCTGGAAATTGGCGCTGTGAGGGGAACAATTCTCAGCACTCTTAAGAACATAAAGAGTGTTAGGGAAAGCCTGCTGGAAGAGGCCAATGGTCCACCTAATCCAGCATCCTGTTCTCACAGTGGCCAACCAGATGCCTGCAGGAAACCAGCAAGCTGGATCAGAGCACAAGAGTACTCTCCTCAACATCATGTGGCTTCCAGCAACTGACATTCAGACGCACTGTCGCCTCCCATCTGTGGAGGCAGAGCAGAGCCATTACGGTTGGTTGGTATCCATCCATAGCCCTCCTCTCCATGAATTTGCCTAATCCCCTTTTAAAGCCACCCAAGTTGGCGGCCATCACTTGCCTCCTGTGGCAAGGAGTTCCATAGTTGAACTACATGCTGCACGGAGGACTTCCTTTTATCGGCCCTTAACAAACTACAGCTCCCAGAATTTCTCAGGAGACATCCTTACAGTGGTGCCTTGGGTTAAGAACTTAATTAGTTCTGGAGGTCCGTTCTTAACCTAAAACTGTTCTTAACCTAAGGTACCACTTTGGCTAATGGGGCCTCCCACTGCCGCCGCGTTATTTCTGTTCTTAACCCGAGGTACTATTTCTGGGTTAGCAGAGTCTGTAACCTGAAGCATCTGTAACCCGAGGTACCACTGCACTTGTTTAAAATAGCATTGCAGTGCTTTAGACGTATGGTTCAAATGTGACCCTAATGGTCTTGAGGTAAAGGAGGGTAGATTTCAGCAGACTATTAGGCAAATCCTGTTAACAAGAAGAACAGCTCAATAATGGAACCTACGTATTACCTGGAAGGGTGATCGTCCCCCGCCCCAGTGATCTTCAAGCGGCTCTAGATTTCCTGCGTCCATCAGGGGTACGGACTAGTTAAGTCTGCAAGCCCCCCACCCCCAAAAGCACACACACTTTCATTCTAAGAGAGCAGGCTGGGGCAGACCCTCTCGTGCAACACACATTTTATCTTTGGAGGCACTTTTACAAAGGGGGACTATTCAAAAATTGGGGGGGGGGAATCCACCTGCACTTTGAGGTGGTACAAGCAGTGCTTTTTTCTACAAAAATGTTTAGGGGTACTCTCATTTTCCTACTCATATTGAAGTGCTGCCCCTCAATAAGGCCAAACTTAAGATTCATAAAATGTTTAGGGGTATGCATACCCCTGCGTCCCCCCAGAAAAAAAGCACTGGGCACAAGCCATTCTATCACTGCATTCTGTTGCACAAGCTAGCTCATCATTTAGGGTCAAGAATGGGGTCACACGTTCTGGCTTCAAACCTAGCGCAAAAATGGTACTGTATGCATGTCTAATTGGAAGTCAAAACAATACAGTGGTACCTCGGGTTACATATGCTTCAGGTTACAGACTCCGCTAACCCAGAAATAGTGCTTCAGGTTAAGAACTTTGCTTCAGGATATCTTGCTCCAGCGGCGCGGCAGCAGCAGGAGGCCCCATTAGCTAAAGTGGTGCTTCAGGTTAAGAACAGTTTCAGGTTAAATACAGACCTCCGGAACAAAATTAAGTACTTAACCCGAGGTACCACTGTAGAGTGCTTGCTCACTGCCTGCTCAAGATTTCTGCTCATCCCTTTTTTCCTGTTTCTCTCTCTCCTAGCAGAATTTGCATGGTTTTTTAAAATCAATGAACCCTTTTGCCATTCACCTCAAGGGGAAGCCATCTAGCGGTTCAGCTCATTGTCACATGCAGCTGTGCATCCCGGGTGCACACTTACGCACACAAAACACACACAAACGTCGGCTGCGCAGCCTCACTGGGAAAGCATTACCTCATCCGTTTTCAGTTCTATTTGTCTGCTGTGACAAGGGGCGTCCAACTCCCCCAAGGGAAGGAACACAGATTCCCTTCTCTCTCCTGCCTCCTCTTGTTGGTGAAATGAATAGGAAACTATTTTCAAACCCAGCAGGAGGAAAAGACTAGCAAGATGCCTAGCATGGAAAAAGCCGTTTCTTTGACATCTGCTGTGTTCAATTCAATTCGATTCTTCCAATTAAAAATAAATGCACTTTTAATGGATGCGTTTGCTTTTTAAAATTATTCTTATGGGTTTGCCCATCACCACGGAATCAAATTGATACAGGTCAAAATGTAAAGCCCTTGTCACATTCAGAGCCACCCTCCCCAAGATCTCTTAGCCAAGATCCAGTTCAATGCCTACAGAATGTTGAAGCAGGGGAAATGTTAACAAGCTCCTAAAACGTGTAATCCGTAACAGAAAACAGAGCAATTGGGTTGTATCTAACACTAGTCCAATTCAGACTCATTGAGATCAATATACATGGATAATGTAGTCCATTAATTTCAGTGGGTTTACTCTGAGTAGAAATTACTTGAATACAGCCCATTCTTTCAAAATGCTCTGCACACGGAGAGAAATAAAACTGGGAGCAGAAGTTTCAAAGGTGATTCAAAAAAATCTTTTAGATTGAGGAGATACTGAGCACCACGCAGCCTAAAAGATACAGTGTGTTCTTTTAGTATAAAAGTCAATCTTTTGCTTCCTTTCAGGGATTTCAAGACACCCAAGACACAGCAGTTTGGGTGTCCTGAATACATGATCAACCAGCAGAGAAATGTATTTTGAGACATAAAAATATGCTTAAAGTCAAGACCAAAGGCCCTGCTTAATTGCCAGCGCCTCACAAATTTGGAATGTCCGTATTGTGCAGCACACAAGGGTGGCAAACAAGTGAGGATTCTCAAGCGTTATACCATTTAAACCCTAAAATGCAATCATATACATCAGAAGTGAGGAACTTTTTTCAGCCTGGGGGCCGCATTCCCTTCAGTTATAGGCAGGGCCAGAGCAACGAATGTAAATTGTAACCTCTTATACAGCAAGGTAGATTGTACAGGCTTACACACCCCTTCTCTATCTTCCATCCAGACAAGCAAGAGCTATATGATCAGAGTTCAAGGACACATTGCAGCCAGGCAGAGAAAACTCAGGGTGTGATGCAAGGCTGCTGAGGGGCATGGCCTGATCATTCCAAGGGCAAAACAGAGACGCCTGGAAGGTCGCATTTGGCCTCTGGGTCTGAGGTTTCCCAACCCTGCTGTACAAGTCTACTCAAAAGTAAGTCCCTTTGTGTTTAACCGAGATTACTCCCACATGGTAGGTACAGGATTGCAGCCTTGGCGGAGCTTAAACCTCAAATTTGCTGCTGTTGATTTTGAATAAATGTCCTTAATAACAAGCCCAACTTACACTTTATAGCATACGTTTCCCATCCCGTCTGCACCATTTATTTCCAGGCACCAACAAAAGACTTCTTCGTTATTCAATTTTTAAAAAAGCAAGGCAGAGACTAGAAACAAAAACAAATTCTTTATAGTGTCAAATGCAATTCTCAGCTTGTAGGTACAAAAGTGTATGTGGAACATAAAAATCATGAATTGTGCCCCCCCCCAAAGTGCTTATTATTCAGATGTAATTATGATAAGGAAAATGGGGAGCAGGCGCGTTCACAAGTTAGCACAAAATGTAACAATGAATTCTGAAAAACCACAAATTTAAGGCACAAAGCTTTTCACTCTCCCCAAAAGGCAAGTCTCTTAGCTCCATTTGTTATTAATTTTGCTTCCTACAGTAAACTGCAGGTTTTGAATTATAACCACCTCATTTTGTCACTTTGACTTGAGTATTAAAGAGAACATTAAAATTTCCTTTAAGAAAATCTGTGATTTATCCACCATGTGCCAAAAGAATCTGATTCAACACTAAATAAAATTTATTAAATTATATAGGTTGTGATCTGTTTCTAAATTAGTAGCTATGGAAAGTATCCAGAATTGATCATTAAGTTAATTTACTAATATAAATACACCATATATTGTTATACTCAAAATAATACATTTGAAATCTTCCTTGCTAAATGGAATGTGTGACTCCCACCTCCAAAAAACACACACCCAATCGCTCAGTAGAATTCATAATGCAAATAAGATTTATATATTAAAAATACTACAACTGGTACAACTTGGTAATTCAAGAGCAATACAAAATATACTTCAAGAACCCAAGAAGTGCCTCTATTTTATTATTGCTTGATTAATTTCCTAAAAAGTAACAGAAAGATTTTAACTCTTTCTCCTGTCATTCTCTGACCAGGGAGATCAAGCAAAGAAACTTGGCAGGAGGTTTGAGAAAAGGCTGATGTATCCAGCTGGCTAATTGTATCATCTGACCCCCCCCCTTTTAAAATCTTTT